TTAAACAATTGCAGGAAAGAACCATTGAACAGGTTGTGTTAAAAAAATAGGTATATTTTTTCTTGTCACTGTGCTAAAAAAAAACTTAAATATTCTAATATATCAAAAATTAATGGGAAAAATCAACTATCCCACCATCTACTTTACTTTCCATAATATTACAGTTAAAATTTCTAACAATAGAAATTTGGTTAATTTTTTTAAAATTTTTCCTTATATTGAATAAAGAGTTTTTCCGATAAGGCCCCGAATATATGAAATATGAGATCTTTCAAACTAAATTTTCGAAATAATTAAATCTATTGGTTATTTCATTAAAATTATATGACGTATAACAAAAAATTACGTTTTAATAAATTAATTAATTTTTTCGACATTGTACAACACTAAGTGTAATTCTGTACAAAACTAAGTGTATAACACACACAATTGAATTAATCAAATTAGTTATCACTTATCACCTAATACCTAAAATAACTAAAAGAAGAAAAAGTAAAACCGTATTTAAATTTTTCGTTAAACTTTTGAAATTTTAAAAATAATTTATATAGGAGATTTTTCAACATAAAGAAGACACCGTATTCATAGGCATCAATGATATAATCCAGGATACGCAATTGTGGTGCAACTATTGCCCCGGTTATTTACAATCTACTATCTAGAAATCAATTAATCTTCTAAAAAACGAATTAAATGTTTATTATATGTATTTATGGCAGATATTAGAGTCTCATATATATATGCATAGCTATGTGTATACCCTTCAAATTTATAAAGATATAAATTATACAAAATTATTTTAACTGGTTAAATTTGCATAAAAATATGTAAATATATTCTACTTTCATAAATTTTTAAAATTCGTAGTTCTATATAAAAGTGAACATGTACATATGTATGTATTTTATATAAAAAAATATATAAATACGTATGAATGTATTTAGACATATTAGTATCAATATACATTAATAATAATTAATGCAAATATATACAAAAAATTCTACATAGACATAATCCTACACATCTAATATAATAGTGTATTGCACATAAAATTGTTTATCCGAAAATGTTATATAATTTTATTAATTTACATAGTAAGTAAGTAGAAGTTTTTGTGAGTGAACATTTTTCTTTTGTGATTATTATAAAATATCGTGGTTGGAATAAAAAAGTTAAGATTTTTTATGATTTCATTAAATTATTTGCTCGTAAATAATTGCTTTGGCAATACTCTCATAAATTGTATTGAAAATTAAATTATAACTTTAATTAATTTAAAAAATTTCGCATAAATTTTTTTATTACAAAAGATTTTCTGTTTATATTTTTTGAACTAACAAACTAAAACGAAAATCAAAAATTGTATAGATAGCCTAAGCTCAACTTGAATTATAATGAAAAATTCAATCAAATTTTCATACTTAACTTTATAGTTTTCAATTTATAAGTGTAATTTAATTTTCTATTTTATTCATTTTATTATAATCCTAAAATTTTCATGAAATTATAAAAAATATCCTCTTAAACGGACTATGATTATTTTGAAATCAATATTTATTTAAAAAAGAAATAAATAATCAATAATATTTTCTTTATATGCCTATTTAAAACTAAAATTTATAACTTTAGTGTTAAAGTAGGGGTTAGAGTCATTTGTAAATGATGTTTTTCTATTCAAAAATTCATTTTTTCCAAATTATATTGCATATGTTTAGGAGTTAATTTACAAAATCAATTTAAAGATAACATGCAATATTGAGTTTGTTGTTTGAAGGCACAATATCTATTTATATGTTATTGCGATTGTTTGTTTAAATATATTAGATTACGAGGCAAGTCATGTAAACCATACTTAGTAATCATGTGGATTACAGTATAAAAGAATGTAAAGAACAATTTTCCAATAATTTCTTCATACCTCTGTCAGATCTCTACCGGAGTCATGTCACTAGTTCGAATCCAATTTCCATTAGCTACTTTTATACGAACTAATAAATATAAACAACTATACACGTTGTTTGTTTAAAATTCTTTTTGAAGAGATGGCTCAGCTAAAAGGAGAGGAAGGAGATACAAAAAACAAAAGGTTGTTCTAAAAATATAATAATATCACCAAAATCTATTTTACTGGTTGAAAAAATTCAGCTTTCTATTTTGGAGGTTAAAAAAATTTTGCAGATGTATGGATAGACAAATAGATTGCACCCATGAAAAGTGTATTTTATTTAAAAATTTTCTGGAAAATGCGCTAAAAATTGAATTTAATTTAAACTGTTGTTGTTTTTCTCTAATTGAAGAAATTAAAAAAAATTATCTTGTATTTTTTTAATTAGCGTGTAATAACGGCAATAATAAAAAAAAAAACGTAATTAAATTTCTTCTGGGGACAAAACAAAACAAAAAGCCGAAATACGTTATGTATGTAATTCAAAGGTAAAAATAACATGTATGTAATATGTATGTACGTATTTTATAATTACATTATATTGTACTATAAATGTATAAATAAATTGTGTCTATTTTTATTTTCGCAATATTGTTATAAAAATATAAATAATTTAGAGATTATTTACAACGCAAATACATATATAAATGAATGACAATAATAACGTGATTGTAATTTTACATAAATAGAATTTGAAAAACCGGCCGGCCGTTTTTTTGTTCTTTTTGTAATTCTTCTTACAATAGGGCGGGATAAATTCTAATTTTTCTTTATTTTGATTTTGATATAAAATCCAATGTTTTTAAAATTAGATTTATTTTTAAAATTAATATAGATTTATATAAAATACGCGAGAATATTTGATGATTTCATAAAAAATAAAAGCAACAAAAATTATGCTTGTTTACGTTCATTTCCGCATATTATATTTAATTTATAAATAAAAAAATACCAAAATAAAAGAATATTAAATGAACTTAAAATAAAAAAAAAACAAAATTAAAAAATTTTTGTTTTATTTTTTTTTTTCAAATATAAAAACTTATTCAAAAATTTTAATCTTCGCATATGTACACTACACAAACTTTCATAATATATGTATATGAATAAAAAAAAAGAACAAATTCACCTACCCATGTGTGTATGTATGTACATAAAAAATATCTACAAAAATAAACTTTTTGGTATCGATAGTCCTATTTTCTTTCACTTTTTCTTACATTTGTGTGTTTTTTTTTACGAAATATGTGTTTTTCGAAAGCTTTTTTTCTATTTTGTTGACGAAAATACAAACAATAAAATGAAAACAAAAACAATATTATTATCAAAAATTGTTTATATACAATATACAAGCAAAATATAATATTTCCAATCTTAAAAAATATAGTCTACGACTATATGTAGAATAAGTAGAGGAACCTACACACTTATATTTTTGACGAAAATATCTACTGCGTAATTTCTTCTCCGCCACGTTCTGATTTTGTTTCTTTTGTTTTTTCTTTTTTTATATTTACATACTTTTTTTTCATAAAAAATTAATTTTATATACGTACGGTTGTACCAAAACATGGTTATTGCTAATTAAAATTGTAAGACAAATTGCCAAATAAAAGAAAAAAAAAAAGGTTTTGATGGGTGCATAGGTACTTCCAAAAAATTATTTTAAATTTGAATTTAATTTCGAATCACAATTATTATATATAAATATTTTAAATTACTTATTTGGAAATTTTTGTAAATTTACACAAGATTTGTGCATTTATAATCGTGGGTGTAAGTTTTCTAAAATCTAACAATACAAAAATTGCAATTTTTCAGTATGGAGATTACTGATTTAAAAGTTTTTAAATTGTTCGGAATATTCACACCAATTTTGTAATTTAGTTTTTTTGTTTTAAATAGAAAGTTTTCAAGATAAGTCTTTTTTAGACCTTTGAGATAGGTTTCGCAAAAGAATGATTTAAATTTTTATTTATAATAAAGAAAAAAAAAATCGGTGGCGTAACCATTATTGTTTTAGTTTCAAAAAAATTTGCTTGTTCCACAAATATTTCATACCTTAACCGAAAGTTTAATTATATAGACACTAAGTTTAAATTTGTACAACCGACTAAAACACAGTAAAATCATATTTTATTTTTAAAAAAAACTAAAACTAGAAAATCTTAATTTTAAGTGATAAAAGTAACATTTAACAAAACAGTAACAGAAAAAAGTAACATTAGTAAAAAAGTAACAGAAAAAGAAAATAATTAATTTTACCCGAAAAACTAAAAATTTTATTATTTCTCTTATTCCCTAAAATGTTTTATGTAAACGCACGTTACCCTAACAATATGAGGTTTTACAAAACCTGGCTTTCTTTGAAGTAAATATTTTTTTTTTATTGTAAAATTTAATATTAATTTTTCATTACAATAAAAAATTTCCACCTTAAATTATTTTTGATTATATAAAATCCTATATACATGTGTGTGCATACAGACATAGATTATATTCATAAGTAGTTTTCTTATTACTTGTTAAAAAAAAAATGAAAATTTATAAAATTAATTTAATATTTTATTAATCAAAATTTTTATTCGATTTTTTAAATTATCTTTCATAAAATCCAATTGAACGGACAAACGGTCAATTTAATCAAAATAAATTTTATTTGAGTGTTTTATATTCATATATACATACATATATTTATATATGTACTTTCATATTGAATTAAACAAAAATAGAATCAAAATAAAAATCTGAAGTTATAAAGAGAATTAAAAAAAGAAAAAAAAACAAAAATATAATAAAATAAAAAACCATAAATTGATATACTTTTTAAGCTAATCAAATAAAGAACACGTTTGTATATGCATATATATGTGTGTATTTCTTTATTTTCAACCGTATAGTCATAACTAGTAAATATTTTATGTGTTTAGATGTAGAAAATTCAACCAAAAATAAATTTAACAAATACGATTTAAACGACTTATTTTTCTTTGATAAGATATCAGTTATAGAAAAAAAAATAGTAAAAAATAGAAAAAAATTCTTATCAACTTACCTAGTGGGCATGTTTTTAATAACTTTATCAGATAAAAATCCAGCTCTAGAACAGCGTTCAACAAATCTATCCAATATAATATAAGCAAGAGGAACATCCAAAACTATATCAGCCATATCATCAAATACTCTCTGAAATCCCTATAAAATATTTAAAATACAATTAGAAGACATTTAATTTTAAATAAATTTAATAATCAAAAAAATTCTTTTGATACTAATAATTCTTTCTTTTTTTGTTGACTTACTTGTTCCATCATATCAGGGGAAATCAAACATACTTGATCCATAGATTTCAGAAGATCGCACATAGATTCCTCCGTTGTATGACTTATAGATTCCAAAGTCATAACGACAGTCTTTAAAATAATAAAATATATATAATTAATAAAAAAAAATTGTTAATAAATTATTCATAAATAATATTTGCATTCATAAATTATAAATTGAAAATTTCGGAAATAAAATCAATGCCGAAAACATATTATCTCTGGCAATGCTTTTGTTTTTTTTTTATTGAAAATAAATGTTGATTTATTGTGGGTTACACCATTCATGTTTATCTTAAATATTATCTTTAACCCTTGCATGTCACAAGTTGTTTATACAACAAAAGTCAATTTACAAAAGAATCTCAGAAAATTAAATTTTTTATAAATAAAATAATGACACTCCTTGAAATTTTTGAAAATAAATAAACATTGCGATTTCATTAAATGTCAAGATTGAATAGCAAGAGTTAAATAAAAATTAAAATTTTTTTTTAAATTTATATTTTCATTTTGCATGCTATTACTTGAATCTTATTACTTACCTCATAAACCAATTCATGGTGAAAATGCGGTACTTCTAATGCTCTTAAGCATCTTTGTGCTTCTTGAATATCTCGTGATGATAAGTACTCTTTTAATAATAGTGTCATTTGTCTCGTAATAAATTTGACTGGTCTCAAAGGACCACCCATTCCCCATACGTTGTCCAAATGTGCCCAACCTTGTTTCATAGATAATAATGTATCTGCCCTTTTTATAGCAATAAGAGCATGCTCATTTAAAATTTCTATATCATCAGGTTTCGTGACAAATTTTGGAGGAATACAGTCATCTGCTACAGCACGCGCTAAGAAATTGCCTTTATTCGATAAAAAAAAAATATATATTTTAAAATTGAGCATAATGATAGTTATTTTTTTTTCTTCTTGACTAATTCTGACAAAAATTTTCAAAAAAAACTCACCCAACATAGTTGGTGCTTCTGGAGTATCTAAGGTTAAATCTGGTAAATTTTCCAATAAAATCTCAAAACCCTTTACGATATCTTTACCAGTTATCACACGACCGTAAAGATCTGAAATTAATAATGACGTCATTTCTCTTTGGGAATCTTTATGATCCAATGATATTTCAACTGCAACACTTGTTACATATGGTCTTAATTGCCCAGTTAAAATTTCATCTAAACTAATAGCAACTTCATGGGTATCACCATGTTCATAATATTCCAATATAATAGGTTCAGTTTGTTTGAAAAATTCTTCAGGGGTTACTTCAGGTATAACTTCTCGTAGTTCAATATTTTTATCATTGCACTCACTATCGTAATTTGGGTCATTTTGATCTTCACAATCAGCTTCTAATAAAAGTTCAGATCCTGGTAAACCCCATACACCTTTACCACCAGCACCACCTTTTTTTGGTAAACCTCGTCCATAACCGTTTCGAGAACGTCGACTGTTTTTCCAACGTCTCTGTGGTGCAATATAATTTAAGCCTTGTTGGCCTGCAGCATGTCCATTAGCCGTATTTGGTAAACCATCCCGACTATTTTGTCGGGCGAAACGTTTTGCTTTCTTTTTTAATCTTTCATTACCTTCAACTGGTAATGGTTTTTTAATTCCATCACTGGACGTGGATGGAGAAGAAACATCAGAATGTCCATTAATATCCTGATCAAAATCTTCTTGGATTTCCTTAGTTGAAAAACTTTCAGCTTCCATTTTTTCAACGAATTTGTATAGTTTTTGATAAAAAAAATAAAATAAAAACTAAATTACACTTTTATTTAGTTTTCTTTGTTGGATTTTTGTTGGTTTAAATTAGTATAAAAGATTTCTTAGTGAAACACTATAATTTACGATGTCCTGTAGGCGTAAAATTGTCTGTTCCTAATAATCTTTCCAAATTGATGCTAAAATATAAAAATAAAGAAAAAAGCATGTTAAACTTTTTTTTTTTAATTTATTAAAAACATTATGGTTTCAAATTCATTCAATTATATTTCGGCGCACGGACATTATGTTTTAAAAATTTTACATAAAATTCGTAAAAATAAATTTCACTCAAATAAATACGGTAAAGTAGCACATTTCCAAGTATATAAGCTTTATAAATACATAAAGGGATAAGTAAATAACGTTGGGTCAAACCAATGGTTTGCATTGTAGCACTTTTCCTTTCAACAAGTGAAAATACTGCTTTTTAAATACAGTCTATGCATACCTACCACACTATTAAAAATATTTTCATTCATATACGAAACTATTCCTAGGATTGCATATATTTAGGATGAACGATTTATGCAGTCTTTGAAATAAAGCAAAAATTAATTTAAAGAGGGCTTAATTAATGAGTTAAGAAAAATAGTTATATTAATAATTATAGAAATTTGAAAAAGCTTGCGGTTTCGGAAATATAAAGCGTCAAAAATTGAAATTTTACAAATTTTAAGAGGCGATAACTTGAGAGAGGGTGGAGATGGAAAAAAAATTTCTTCTAACGAAATAAACTATTTGTTAGTGTCTAACAACTGCTAAAATTTCAAGCTCCTACAACCGGAGGTCTAGAAGAAAAATGACATAAAAAATTTGGAAAAAGCGGATTTTAGATAACGGTAAATTTGGACGACAATCTTGTTTTTTTGTTTTAAGTTTAAGTATAGTATGCGATAGCGGCCTCTCTAAGCAAGCCACTGCCTTTCTGAGTTTGCAAAATTTGAAAAATGCTTATGGTTTCACTGCAATAAATAGTTAAAAAATGGCATTTTTAGGGTATTGGAGGGGTATAATTTCTAGAGGGGGCGATATAGGTAAAAATTTTCTTCTACGAAAATAAGTTTCTAGTAAAGATCTATGTACATATTAAATTTCAGCTTTCTATCTCAAAGGGTATAGATTTAAAGAAGTTTTGAAAACTAAAAAAGGTCCACAGACGGACGGACGGACAGAGTGAAACTAATAAGCACTTTTTTTTCAAAAATTTTTTAGAAAAGTGATAAAAAAAAGGAACATAAACTATTTATGGACATATGTATGCGACTACTTATTATATCGTTCTCTTAATACCATATTAATATGTCTTGATTATTGCACACTTTTAGGATGAGGATGAAATTTAAAGAAACTGTAACAAATTTATGGAATGAATTGGGTTATTTAAATAAAATTTTTCTTAGAACAACACATTTACCGTAACTTATTTGTTTTCAGAAATTTGATTCAACGGTTAACGGTTGACTTCAAAAGCAAATTTCGTTGTTGTAAATTTCTTACTGTTATTTTAGTAAAAGTAGCATAATAAAAAGAAATAATTATTTTAAAGCAATAATTATGATTTTGATACAAAAAATAATCAAAAAATTGCATATTTAAAATTTTGAGAGAATATAACTTTTAGAAGGAAATAGATAAGTAATAATTATCAACAGTGTATCTATTTGTGTATAAAATTCACCCTTTCATGAAGCTTTGTGAATTGACGTACGAAAGAACAATTAAACTAGCATAGTGAAAATAACGAGAACATTTCTTTCGAATTCCATTTCAAACGGTATCAAAAAGGAACAAACCAGGGTGATATTACAAAGGTAGTTCACAATTCATATATATATACATATGTATGTATATGGTAATTGTGAATCACGTTTGTGTTATTTAATAATTTTTTTTGGTTATTTTCATTTTCAATTTCAGTTCTTACTATTGATATTAGTTAAATATATGATGATATTAAATATTTTTTTTATAATTTGAAAGTTTAGAAGTACCTTCCTATATATTATAAAAAAAAAATTAATTTAAATCGAAAAATTTGATTCAGAACTCTTAATATTCAGTAATTTCATATTGTTTCTACATTTAAAAACATATTATATTCCTATACAACAAAATTTTAACATTTTTGTAAACTATTAAAAGTGTGTAACATTTAAATAGTATGTAAGAGAAATTATTGTAAGTATGTATGTGTACTTTTAACACACTGTTTATACCATATAACATTGAAGTTCTCATTCGACCAGTATTTTAAAAAACTATTAACACGTTTCAGGTATTTTTATTTCATAAAAAAAATAATACAAAAAACAAAGTAGTTTTCGAAACAGCACATTAAAAAAATTGTTTATCTTAGAAAAATATAAATAAATACAAAAAAAATAATTGGAACGCTTAAAGAGTATTGAAAAGTTTTTTTTTATGATTACGAATTAAATTTATATTATTGTAGATACGTACGTGTGTATGCACATTAATTATTAAAAGCTCTTTTTTATTTTGTATGATAAAAAAAAATAGAATAAAAATCCCACAAATACAATTTTAAAAAATCTACTATTTAAAATGAACATAGGTATGTTATACCTATGTATACGTAGGTATGTTATACCTATAAACTTCTACATGTTATGTGTATTTAATTATAAGCTGTTGTTACATATGTGTATGAATAAATAAATAAATACAATAGTAAAAACTAAAAAAAAATTCAAAGTTTGTAAACAACTCATATTTTGGTTTAAAAATGAAAAAATAAAAAAAAAAAAAAACAGAAAATTATTTTTACATTTCAGTCTGGCAATAAAGTAAATTAAAAATTTACGAAACTAAGGTAAAAAAATAAAAAAAAATTAACTATATTATTATAAATTTTTATAAAAAATGCTATTATTTATAATATAAATAAACTTTTACAACCCATATGTGTGTATTTAGCTGTCTTGTTCAGAATTTCATATGACAATAAATTTCATTTTTAATATTCCATTATTTTTGCATATTCTTTATTAATCACAAAATTATAGAAATGAAAAATAATTTAATTTTTCAAAAATTTCATTTTTAAATGGGATAAAATTAGTAATTTCTTATTTTAATGTCATTTATGGAAGAATTTTCATCAGAAAAACTAGTTTTTTTAAATATTTCTTATGTTTAGAATTCTTGCTACTTTAAATAAAACTACGAAAATGTTGCAAAAAAATATGAAAATGCCTTCAAAATACTTTTTTTAAATTTTAAAGACGCTGATATGTTCTTAATTAACAAAGAGACAGAAAGATCGACATCTTTTTAAAAATAGTTTATTTACGCTTCCCTACCATGGAGCAGTGCGTTCCCACGGAAAACTAGACAGGTGGGTTTTGGTGGTCGTTAAAAAAGAATTTATTCCACATCATTTTTATACTTGCTATGCTTATATGAAAAAATTTAGTGGACCAAAAAAGAAAAAAAAACAACAAAACATTAAAAACTTTTACTTGACCTACATATGAAAATTCTACCATATTTAAAAGGCATCAGAAGAGAACAATTTTAAAATCCAGCTTTTTTAAAATATTTAATATAACATCAAAATTTTAAATATAATTAATTTGAACGCAAAAAAGCATTTAATATTTGATATTTTTAAAAATATGAAAAGCGTAAGTGAATAATCAAAAATGTTAGTACATAATTACATTTTCCAACACACATTTATTTATATAGCAAACACATATTTTACATTTTTGTATATTGTTTTAGAGGTTGTCTAATAATTAACCAAATTTTGAATTCTTTAATCCTCTACCTATGTTTGCCACAGGATTCCAAATCTAAAGAAACGTGATAACCAAATCTCTTTAAAGTAACAGGTACATGTATATGAATTTTAAATTTTAAATTCAAGAGTATAATATAATACAAGAAATAAAACAAGAAATAATTTAAAAAAGTTGTTTAAGTCAAAATAATTAGGTACATATTATATTACTTGAGAAAATGATTATTATAATATGAGCATTCGTTAAAATTTGAAAATGACATAAGTTTTGACATAAGTTATCACTATTATACATGTAAGTACATTCATATATGTATGAACACAAAGTAGTCATATATTGTTACTGCAAATTAAAATGGAAACAGAAAAAGAATTTCAAAAAAAATCAATAACTTTCAAAATTGTTCAGTAATGTGAGTTAAACCACTCTGGTTCAGAGGCGCTCATATTGATTATTAAAAGCAATAATTATTTAAAAGAAGAGTTGATTACTCAGAAATTAGTTGTTGTGGCCAAGATAAGTTACTAACTTGAAATTGAAAGTTCTACCACATTTGTTAGTTATACATTTGATACTTTGTTAAAATAAATGAAATACCTATATGAAATGAAAATTTCTATTTCTATTAGCAATTACACCAAGATTGCATAATTAAAAAGATTTCAACATGATTTTTATTATTAATAAAATAAGCCTATATAATTGATTTAACTGAATAATTGTGATAAGTTTTAAATGTACATTAACATAAATAGGTACACATTGTATAAATTACATACATAAGTACATACATATTTATAATTTTTTTATTAATGTTTTCAAGTTCTTTCTAAATATATACATATGTGTGTATGTAGAAATGAATTAAGCAACTTTGTCTGGAAGAATATATAAGTAGATATTAAAGGAACATTTATTGTTAACAGTATATATACATGTGTAGCATCCCAATATATTATTTATAATCGTCTATATATAATCGTATATAAATGAATATGTATGTATCTGTATTATATATCTTGTACATGTTATTATGTATTTTAAACATATCATTCAAAACAAAAATGAACACATTAAATGATTTTTTTGTTTTTCTAAACGACATAATAATATAAAAAGCTTCTTTTTTCTGCCTACGTGCCTTTAAACAAGTGAAACTTTCGTGTGTAAGTGAGAAAGAGAACTAGTTGTTTTTTATTTTTAACAATATTTTATTGGTGCGTGTTTTTTTTTTGTTTACGTTTTTACTTTTTAAATATTTTATGAATAGATATATATATATATATATATATTTATTTATATATGTCTATACACATAGAATCTATGTATATACTGAAAATACTTTTTTTTCATTAAGCTAACCTTTCAAAGGAATTTTTGTCAGTTTATCCAAATTTCAATCCAAAAACTTCCAAATGTGAAATTTTTGTATATTGTTTAAAATTTTTTATTTTTGGTGTGTACAGCTTTAGTATGTGTATGTATTTCTATTTGATTAGTATAATGTTATTAAATTAAAATAAATAAAACAGAAAATTAACACGTGTTTTCTTTCATATTATGTGCATATGGGTACTTTTCTATTTTTCATATAAAAAAAATCACAGGTAATATCTTTTCATACATATACATACATATGTGAAATATACTTTACATATGCATATATACACACATCATGTATATATTTATGATACTTTCTTAGATATATATTATATTATGTAGATAATTAATTAAAAATTGCCTATAAAAACAAAAAAAAAAAATTAACTATGTATATTGTAAAATTAATTAAACTTATAGGTATATAAACACTATAAACAAATTATAAAATATTATATAAAAAATGTGAAAGCATCTAAAATTTGTTTTAATGGAAATAGAATCGCTCATTTTATTATCGTAAGGCTTACATTATACTTTTCCAGCAAGTTATTTTTCATGTTCTAAAACTAATAACTTGAAAACTAAACTCCACTTTTATTTCACACTGTCATACATATGTACGTAATATGTATTTTTATTCGTAAAAAAGCACGTCATAATATAATATATGTATGTATCTGAAATTTCATATTAAAATTTCACAAATATTAAAAAATCAAATCAATTCAGTTAGTTAGATATGTAGGTACTTGTTCTGTATCCAAAACATCACTGATTAAATTCAAAATCTGCAAGAGCAGTTTTTTAAGTTCCAATATTATGAGTTATAGTTCCAGAGTTCCCATAGAGGAGCATGAAATTAGTTTCTTAAATCAAAAATAATGAATAAAAAGAATTGTAAATTAACAAGTTTTTAGTTTTTTCATGTAAATAAACATGATAGCTTAGTTTTTTTGAAAAAGACATAATAATAGCCCGAAGTTTTATGTAAAGTAGCGATTTTAAATAATATAAATTATGAATTAAATATAAATTCTGGGAAAAATTATAATTTAAATAAAAAATTTAAAATAAAATAGGGGAATCAACCTCTTTTATGGGTTAAGTATTAATTTGTTATAGTTTTAAACTGGTTAAATTAAAATAAAATTGTAAAAACGTAAATTAATAGGCAACTACAAGCATATAAATATTGATGTTTTTTATTTTATTTAAATATATTTTTATTCAGAAAATTCTTCAGTAACATTCCAAAGTAACAAAAATTTATGTAGATAGATACCAAGATATTTCAATAAAATTATTATATTTATTATCAAAATAAATAAGTTGAAATTTCTATTATTCTAGAAAAAATTACATACATGATTGACATAGTATGTACTGCGAATGTAAATATTTAAGAGCATAATATTCCCAATAAATTTACCTATTTTAATTTTGGATATAAATGCGCGCATATACGTTATATACATATGCATGTATCTATCAAATCAATTGTAAAAATATTGTATTTTGTTCATTTAATTTATTTCTAAGTAATTTGACTAAAAACCCGAAACATAATATAATTTCATAGCTTGAAATTATTTATGTATTTACTCGTAAAATATGAAATATGTTTTAAATTCAAACTTAAAATGAACCGTTAAATAAGATTCCGTTTTAAAGTAGTAGGTTTACATATATATGTATATATGTATGCATTTGCTAATATAACAGAAAATTATAACACCCAACCTAAAAAATTATATGATTAGAAAGTAAAATATTAGGTAGGTAGACGCATATTCCAATTTTCTAGTTATAACAACCACAATGTGCAGTTTTTTTCTCAATACATGTAGACAGAGTTTTTATATTAAAAAATTTTTATAAACTCTGGAAATTCAATACTAAGCATCACCGCCCATTTCTTCAAACAGTAAAAAACAAAAAACTAATGTATAAGACAATGGAAATTTAGGTACCCATTTACAATTAAAAAATTGATATTTAAAACCTTGATTTTAAAGTAAATAGCGGGAATATGTTTCTAAAACTAAACATACCGGCTATCATAGCACAACGTTTGTTTATTACTGTACTACTTTTTTTTTTTGTGTTTTGCTAAAAAAAGCTTCAATTTTAAATAAAAACAAGAAAAATAAGAAAATATAGGTGGGTATGAATTTTCATTTTAAAAATGCAATAAGATTCTATTAAGAATTTTGAAGGGAATTAATAGTTTCCTATTCAATCACATTTCAGACAGGATTTTCCTAATTTTTAGATTAATTTTAAATCTTTACAAGCTATAGTTGAATATCATTGCGAATCCAATATTCAATATGCAAATGTATGTATCTATGTACCCATAAACTAATGCACAGCGAGTCTAGAATAAACCAAATTTTAATAATTTGAGTAATAAAAACATATGTATGTACCATGGACAAAATATAAATTGAAACGCATTTAAAATTTCACCTGGTCTTGAATAACATTTTAACACATGTGGGTAAAATATGTAAATTGTTTTTAAACATGGACTCATACATTCATATTTATGTACGTACGTACATAGAAAACTTCTTTCGTTGACCTTGGAATTTTGGAAGACGCAATTTATAAAATTCTCTACATTTGTATGTGTCTATGTTCTTTTCATGCCTAAAAGATGGAATATTAAAATTTTTAAACAGAAAAAAAAAAACAAAACTCTATCAAATTTAGAAAAAATAATATTAAATACAAATTCAGAAAAAAAATTAAATTTACATATAAAGGGCGTCATCTTTATTAGTGCTTATTAAAATGAAGGTGCACTTTCGGCATATTTTATTATCCAGCCATATTATAACCACCGTATAAGAAAATTTTACAATTACTTATTTTGAAAAATATTTACAAATAACAAAATATTTTCTTATTTAATATGAATTTTATATTTACTTACTCTAATAATTTATTTCTTTACAAAATCCTTTTTTAAAATCTTTTTAATATAATAAGAAAACTTGTGCACATATTTTTAATTTAATGTTATTGTCAAATAATATAATGGTTCACTAGCTTTTATATATTGTATAGAAGCTTTAGTCAACTACTAAATTTTTTTTAGGTCTAAAGCTTCATTGAATTGTTTTAATATTTGGCTCTTTTTTATAATTTGTTAAATTTTAAAATTTTTACGCAATATTTATTTAGTTTGATAAAAAAAAGTTTATTATTGTTTTCAATTCACTGCAATTGCAAATGGATATGAATTTAATATAAAAATTTAAAAAAAACAACGCAACGCACAATACACGTCTTGTCACTACCGCAAATAATCTTTTTCTGTAGCAAAATTTGAAAAATTTAAAAAATATCCACATCCACATGGACAGTATAATTCAAGAGATGCCACACTTTAAGTGCCAAAATGACATTTCAAATTATCTTGAAAACCACAATTACCTTTCAGCAAAATGTTCGAATTGTGTAGGAATTTCAGCACGTTTGACGGCGGCGAGTAAAAATAATTTGAATACTGAAAATTAAAACCTAATAGAGATAAATCAAAAAAATCTGATGAAAGGATAACTAGTAGATAGTTCCTCAATATTTGTTTTTTCATTTATTGGCTATTATTGTAAGATTTTTAAAAAATTTTTTTGGTATAATTTGTTAAAGACTAAATTTTTCACATACGACATATTATGTACTTTAATATTTTGCTTTTTTTAATATTGGAATGCAATTACAATTTTATTATTTAAAATTTATTTAATTCTTTCATGTTTACTTTTTCCGTCTAAGCAAAAAAGTGCCCAAATAACTTTTTTTAGCCAAAAAAAAATAAAAATTACTAGAAATAATAAATAATTAAATCAAGAAAGGAAGAAAAGGAAATTAAATTAGGTAGTAAGCCGCTGATTCGAAGTACGTTTATTTGGTCTGAAAAAAATATGTAACATTGTAACGATATTGTGAATACATAATAGTCTGTCTGGTTTAAAACTTGAAAAACCTGTAAGAAAAGGAAAATGTAGCGTTCCTTAAAGCCACTATGAAATGGGTAAGAAACATTGAAGTAATGCTGACGTCATAAATTTCCTTCATTTTTATTCAAAAAGTATTATACCAGACAAAACTTTATAACGTTTTTTTTAAGTTTTATAAACGTTTTTATACTAGAGAGACCTAATATATAATTCTTTCTGCTACGTGGCCGAAATGTATATGATACGTATTATATAACATGCAACATTTACTAATACAATATACATAACATAGTGAATTGTGATTTGTGAGAATTTATTATACGTATCAGTTTATATATATATGTATGTATAATTTATATATATACGTATAATTTATATATATACACATATATATATATATATATATATATATATATATTTATCTTATATATATACGAAAATTATACGTAGTACAAGTACCCCTTGATTTCGGCCCCTTCGATATATGTACGACATTTGTTTTTTGATGGATTTTTCGTTTAATTTTTTCGCACATTGTTTTTTTTTTTGTAAAAATCTTTATAATTTGTATGATATGTATATAGGGTACTAAGTTTAGCAGAAAATCACCAAATTGTATTGCTATGGTAACTCAAATAACTTTTGACGTTTTTCTAAAACATTTAAAATAAGGAGAGGTTAAATTTGTTTTTGTTTAATTTTTGAAATATGATTTAGAATTTAGCAATCATGTCAGTACAATATGTTAAATTATGTTCGGTTATATTAAAACAAATATTTGGAGAAATAGTTCAAAAAATTGGTGAATCTCTTTTAGGAGCGCCGTCACGAACTTTAAAATCTGTAATAAAATCAACCAATTTATCACGGTCAGATGTTTGTGCAGGACTTTCTATACTGATTAAATTCGGTATAGTTGAGTTTAGCAAGTCTCAAGTAAATGAGACTGAAGTTGAGTACTCAATCAAAAAAGAACGGGTCTTATTTATCTTGAAGTATTCGAAATATGTTTATCATATTCAAACTAAATATGGAGCTGTAGCTGCTTCAATAATAGAGGAGCTTTTGAGGGTTGGTTCGGAAACGGCCACTACTTTACTCTCAAAATGTTTCATAAATGCTGATAATAAGGATAGTTTAGGTGGGTACAAAGTTTATGTCAATCGTTTCTTTATTTCGAAGTTTTTGTTTTTAGTAAATTACAGAGACATGTTCATTAATTTGATAAATGAGCGTTATATTGTTAGGCAACCTGCTCCTGTAACAATTGCTGATGAAAATAATCCAATTCCAATTTTGAAGCTTGAAGATGATTTATATTTCAAACCACCCGAAATTAATTTATCGCTATTGCAAGAAATTTTAACATCACAGGGTCCAAAACCAACTCCTGGAGAATTATACTGGACTGTGAATTTTTTACAATTTCATCAAGATTTTAGGGATTTACTAATGATATCCGCTATTGAAAACAAACTTGGAATCGGGGCCGGTGAATGTTTAAAATTTGTTTTAAAACTCATCTATACCAAGACTTTTGCCTGGGAAAAAGAATGTTCAAATCCATTTAGTTTAGCTGAAGTCAAACAATTCATTGATAAAAAAAAGGTTTCGTCGGATCTGATAAAATATGTTGACAATTACGTTGTGCTAATTGCTGAAGATTCATTGGGCTTCCTCCAAAAAGTAGGAGAAGTAGGTGGCGGACAATATGTTGTTAATTTTAAAAAAGGTCTTCAGGAACTTGCTTTTATATGCGTAGAAAATGTGATTAATGAAAAATTTGGTTCAAAGGCAGCAAGAATTTTTCGTGTTATTAAATCAAAACAATATATTGAGCAGGAAGAGATTCAAAAGGAGGCAATGATTCCATCAAAGGAAGCTAAATTATTAACATATAATTTATTTCAAGAACATTTTATTCAAATAAAAACGATACGAAAAGCAGGTGGTGGTGGCACTGGCCCTGCTAAATCATTTTTCTTATTTCATACATCTTTAACTCCAGTCGTTCACATGTTATTGGACCATTGCCATAAGTCGCTATGTAATATTATTACTAGATCGGTATATGAGAAATCAGAAAACAAGAGATTAATTGATAAATCCCAGAAATTAGATAGTATTGTAGAAACAATTAAAGAGCGTGGTGAATCAGAGGAATATATAGCGGAGATTTTAGAAACTTTAACACCTGCTGAAAGAGAAATATTGCAAAATGTTAAAAACCATATTAAAACCTTATCGACCGCGGAATTGATTTTAGAAAATACAATATTTTTACTACAGCTTTATCAATATCATAATAGCAATAAAAAATAAAAAACTGAAACAAATGTTTTTATATAAAATTTTGTTGTCGAAAGAGACAGTTTGGTGTCAAATTGTTAGGTTGTTTGGGTTAAGGATTTAAAGAGCTAGGATTTTGAAAGCCAATGCAAAGCTTCTCATCAAGAATTATTAATTTCTTTTATCCCTGTACCTATATCATTAAACTCTACATTAATTTTTCGTTTAAACGCCAGCATTTAGTTTTATTTTTAAGCACATGAATTTACAATATTTTCTGCAAGCGTACAAATATTTAGTCAATTAGGGAACATTATAACACAAAAATATTTTAAATGAAATATATTTCAACAAAAACAAGGTAGAATTTATAATCATAAGAGATAACATATTACAAATGGGTAATCTACATACAATATACAGATAAATATTTTTCATATTTGATGTGTTGTAATTTTTATATTATTTAATAATGCTTTATTCTTTACACAAATGAGGAATGTCACCATTTTTCATATTTAACTTTTGAAACGCTTTTGATTTTCTTAAAATCTACTTTTAATAATAATTCAATATTTAAAAGTTAAGGATAACTTTTGCAAATATACACTTTAATAATAATATAATATTGTGTAATAAGGATATATTTTAGTAAAATTTTCTTTATCTTCATTTAAAAAATAGGGATATAGTTGTCGATTTTGGCACGATGTTTTTGTGCAACACATTCTGCAATCCAAACAATATTTCGGCATTCTTGTTCTTTTAGTTTTAAGTAAGCATAAAAAACACCAAAATGAAATTGCGACATAAAAGCGTAAACGTTTAATCTAACTTCATGTTCGAAAAACTTATCTTCAAGAGTTTTATCACCAGGATTAGTTCCAGAGCCTTCAAACAAGGCAGCATATTCTGCATAATATTCTGCTACAGCTTTTACTTGCTCATAATCATCAGCGCGTGCTAAGGCTGCTAATCCATCAGGGTGCATTTTACCGCATCGTGGGTACAACTTTTGACGATCATCTTTAGATAACTCCGTCCCAAAAGAATTTATAGTAATAATTATAGCTCGGCGATCGGCTTCAAACTATAAATTTAAGATACATTTTTTACTTATAGTGAAAATTCACTAAGCACGAAAATAAAACTTACAGCTAATATTTCCATCATGATATCTGCAGTTGTTCCGCCTAGTTCCTTACAAAAATCGTAAAATGCTTCTAAGTAAGCTTTATATAAAGTGTTACGGATAATCTCGATATTCATTTCATCCAAATCTTGTTCTGAAATACAGTCAACAAAGAAAGGTGCTAGAGGAGTGTCAACAAGTACGGCATTATAAAGTTCAGCGGGAGTAGCAGCAACATGAATGGCTTCCATTTGCTCAAAGCTTCCTAACGGATGACACTTCGGGATTAATTCCGAAATTGGCCTTTGATGTAAAGTTCCAGTGATCAATAAAATGATGTTATCAATCATATAACCATAAGTAATAAAATCCAAGAAACTGGCTAAAGGTTCCACAGCATGATTTCGCATATGTTGGAATTCGATAACCAATTTTTCTCTAAGTTTGTCGTCTATGACTGATACTGACAAAGGAGATGGTTCATTTGCTAAAAATTGTCCATAGTCGGTACCTTGCAAGTGAAGCTTCAAATCTGAAAAGTTGATTTTTCTATATAAAATTTTATGTAAAAATTAAAATCACGTGACAGTGGTAGTTAGCTTTAAAAAATTGGTTGATTGATCATCATATTTTTTTTGCGTATAGTTTTATATTTCCATTTCGTCTTTTTTAACTAAAAAAATTAATTTACCTTCTAAAGTTTCACACTGCACTAAATTGAGATAATCACTTTGTTTCAGAATCCCACACTTGAATCCACGGCATAAACCCTCTAGATATCCACCATCTATGTTAAACATAATACCGAAACCCATTTTCAATTGTTTTGTAGGTTTGTAACTTTAAGATAAGATTTAGTATTTTTTAATAATTTGGATTTTGAATATCTGGCGAATTCTTAAAATTTTTTAACAATTTCAGTAGTGGATAAAATTTTTCCAAGGATGAATGTCATATGACATAGGTATACATAATAAGAAAAATGTTAATTAAATGTCATATTTCAACGTCATAGTTAATTGTCAAACAATAATGCTAAGCAAACGAACGTAGATACTTACGCGAGAGTCTGAACGTAAAGTAGTTTGAGTAAAAGTTAATATCTGGCATAAAAGTACTTGTTAATTTTGACAAAATACATAATGTTTTTGTTTTATTTTTTATTATGAAATCTCAAATAAAAAAACTATCTGACAGATCAGATTTTAGAGGCTTAAATTATCTATTTAAAAAATACAAATAAATTTTTTGTTTTAATACATTAGCATAAAATTGTACATAAATTTAATAAAGCTAAAAAAATTTTACTTGTAGTGAAAAATTATGACTAAATTGTAAGGTTTTTAGTTTGAATGGTTGTTCGTAAACTATGAGTTGAAGATGTAATGAAAATATTATAAATTAAGATATGCTCCATGGTAAGGTATTGCTGTCGCCTCTCTAATTGGAACTAAAAAAGTTATTTCATTGGTTTTGACGTTTCCAGAAACTCAATAGCTTATGCTCAAATTGGTAATTATTATAAGAACAGAAACAAAGTGGAGAGCAGCAAACGTGGACGATTTCCGTTGTTAACCCTAAAAAATAACGGAACCGCATAATCAATTGTCAAGCATTTTACTTATATTGTTACCCAAAACAGCGAGCGATGAAGGCGATTTAGGATATTTTATCGCCGACGGTTAAATTCGTTGGAGTAATTTCGCATGACTCTATTTAGATCATATCCGTATGCTATATGAATTCTGACACTCCGCCGCAGAAAATCGCTCTTGTTCAGTTTTCAACTGAATAAGGCAATTTTGGCTATTGCACCCCAACGCCCACTAGGCGGATTTTTTGATTTCAGCATTTCGTACTCTCGTTTTCTGAGTAGAATTTAATATATGTATGTAGTGTATTTAGATATATGTACATATGTATGTAATGTATTTGGATTGCTTAATGTTTCTGAATATTTTTCAAAATATGTAATTTATGGTATAGTTTCAACCAAAATGAAGTTTTCAATTTAAAAACAACTAGACAGATATGAAAAATTATAAAGTGGGTTGAAACGTCTAAAAGTTTCTTGAAATTTGATTAACTGGGTTGATCAACATGTAAAACGGGCTAGGCTAGCATAAAATGTTTGACATCCGAATGTTATTTGATAATGTTATATATATAAGTATATATGTATGTTACACAGTCCTGTTTATGTTTATGAAATAAAGGTTATGTTTCATATTTGTAAATATCAAAATACATACATACATTTTAATAATTATTTTAAAAAAGTATAAAGTAAATGGATACAAAAGAAATTTTAACTTTTCAATTTGGTAATTATTCAAATTATGTTGGTTCTCATTGGTGGAACTTACAAGTAAGTATGTATTGGATATATTAAGAAAAATTTATTAACGGAAGCAAAGTTTAAAGGAGTTTTCATTTAACTACGACTCGCAATCTGAGCCTTCTCAAATCGATCATGGTGTATTTTATCGAGAGGGTCTAAATGAAAAGGTGTTAATTTTTATTACTTGTATAAGCAAGCATGACTCACTAATTATTGTCTATGCAGGGTTACATCACATTCACGCCTCGTTTGCTTCTGGTCGATCAAAATGGAACATTAAATGGTATTCCTGAATCTGGCGGCTTATATAGCAATTCTTTAACCAACCCTAATCATGAACTTGTTAATGAAGAAGTCAATAAAAAATTATTCAATGATATTAAAAAAGAAATATCTTGGGATTCAACGAAAATTGATATTGTTCAAACAGAACCTTCAAACCAAGTGGAAAGCAAATCTGATATAAGTATATATTTATGATTTTCATGAATTTTAGATTCATCTTTAACGTAGTATATATTTTAAGATGAAGATTTAGATGAAGAGACCCTTGATGCATGGAGCGATTTTTTGTATACTAGATTCCATCCTCGCACAATTAATATTTTAAAAAAACATAAGTTTTCGGCAGAAAAGGAATCAATTGACACTTTTACTTATGGAACTACTTTGTGGAACTCCAATATTTTTCAAGAAACTTTTATTGATAATATTAGAAGGTACATGGAGGAGTGTAATAATTGCCAGGTATTGTGCTTTTGTTTTGAATTATTTTTTAATTGTCGTTTCCAGAAATTTTAATATCCTTAGTATAAAATCGGTATGATTATTGTTAATTCTAAACAGTGTTTTATATATATTAATATGGTCTTGGTGGTGGTATTGGAGGGTTCGGAAATCCTGGAGGTGGTGGTCGCCAGTTAGGGGGACCTAGTCTAGATGCAGCTGATGGTGGAGGTGCTGGTGGGAAATTTGGTGGTGGAGGAACTGCTGCTGTTTGCCATGGTGGTGGTGGCCCAGGCATCATCCTTGGCGGTGGTGGCAAAGGTGGCTGCGATGCAGGCATTGGTGGCAATGGTGGGGGCGGCACACCTAAAAACATAATTCCATACAAAATTCAATCTAGTTTTGAAACTTATTCTATTATGTAATTGTAAATTTTTTGGAAAGTTCGTTTCGACTTCACAAAGCCTTTTCAATTAACAATTTACTATAGCTTATAGGGACTTGTCATGTCGGTATATCATTATGGTTACAAAATGACTTTTTGTGGTAACCGTAATGTTGCGCTTTATTTGTAGTTGCATTTTTCATAATATATTTTGAAAATTATAAATTACATACCTGCTGGAAATACACTGCTTCCAGTTGGAGCCATTGGTGGAGGAATTGGTGGTGGTGGCGCCATTAAAGGGGGCATGATTGGTGGACGTATCATACCTGGCGGTGGAGCATTAGCTAATACTGGGGGAATTATTTGTGGAACAGGAGCGTCTGCAAACAATTGATGCGGCCTGTCAGCATGAGAAAGGGGATTCTGTGCCGCCAACAAACGTTCTGCGGCTGACCCATGGCGCTCACCTTTTGAATCTTTTTTAAAGGCATATGAAACTGATATCGGACGGTTACATAAATATTGTCCATTCATAGCATCCATAGCAGCGTCCGACGCTTCAAAGCTTGCAAAATTAATAAAAGCGAAACCTTTCGATTCTCCTGTTTCTGGATCTCTCATAATTTTTGGTGTCTGTAGAATAACTCCAAAAGCAGAAAAGGTATCATATAAAAGCTTTTCATCCACTTCGCGGTCTAAATTTCCGATAAATATATTGGCTCCAACGTCCAAATTTTTTTGATGTGCTGAAGCTTTATTTACTCTAATTGGTTTGCCATATAACTTAATCATATTCATTATTTTGATTGCATAATCTGCATCGTCCTCGCTTAAAAATTCTACAAAACCATATCCTTGGTGCATTTGTGTTACACGGTCTTTAGGCATATGAACATTTACTACCGGACCACTTTGGACGAAAAGTTCCCATAGTAAAGGCTCTTGAACCTTTTCATCAAGTCCTCCAACATAAATTGTCGCATCTTGATTTCGCTCGGCTATTGGGCCTGCAGCCATAATTGCTCTTTACTATGTTTTTTATTTTATTTTCTTATAAACATTTATATTATCCACTTTGTTATTTTTTACCGCTTACTGCTGTGTAACGTGAAATTTTAGGTTATTTTTGACATAAAATGTCATAATAATCGTACAATTTAGAAACAGTGTTAGGAAACGTTTGCACAGCAAATATGTATCGTTAATTGGCTTTTGTTTGATCTTGTGAAAATTTTGTATTAAAAACAATATAAATGTTAGTAGTGATTGCAATAAATGTTCGAATTGAAAAAGAATGTAACATATCAATCCAAACATTGAACTTATGACAATATTTTGGATTTTATTACAAAATTTTGTCGAAGAACTTACATAAGTAAAAAAAATTTAAAAAGTACAGCCCCCAGAGCTCATCCATAAAGTAGCTTTAAGCTTTTAATCAGTTGACATCAAAGCATATCTATTAAGAAGTAGTTCGACTCGTTCTATTCCGGTATTTTCCGTTTGCTTGCTACTTCATAAGAAATATTTATTTTAAATTTTTAGAACAAAATTGAAATAAAAACAAAAATTACAATAATTGTAATGACAATTACTAATTACAAATTTTAAGTTTTTTTTAATATTATTTGTCTTTTTCAAATTATATACATACAATATGTAAATTATAATTTTTTTTATTTTAATAGTCAAATTTTGTTTTTAAAGCGCTTCGCTTTTATAATATAAATACACCTTTTTTGCCACCTTGTACTGGAATAAGTTACCTATACTTTAATATACGATAAAATAAATAACTCCCGTTTTTAAAAACACATTATAAAAAAACACGTAGACATCTATTGCGTACTCTTTCCCTCTCCCAAAATATCCTTATGTATATAAAAATGAAAATAAGAAGATATTCTGCTTAACAGGTAAGGGAATTTTTTTGCATACAAATATTGGTGATTGATTGATTAGTGTGATGTAAACAGAGAGTCGAACTACTTCTTGATAGCTGATATACTTTGGTTGACATTTACTCTATATATGTACATGCATACAGTGTTCCCACTCGGTAAAAATAAAATGTATCCAATTTCGAGAAAAAAATGTATCCAAAATATATTCAGCCTCCTGAAGTAGAATTTTTATACTAAGTCGTCTTATTTTGTACAAATAAACTCACAATTAATATAAATTTGGTTTTTTTTAATAATCTGAGTTTTGTTATTAAATTATTTAAGAAATCACACGCAATTTCTCTTGCATTTTGAATGGTTTACACCAAAATATTTCTGGTACGTTCTTGTTTTAATGTTCTAGATTTAAATACAGGAAGAGGAAGTAACTCATTTAATAAAATATCTTTCTTACTTTCTTCTAACAAATTTTTAAATCTGCTCAGTAAAGCCAGCAAATAATATTTTTTCGAAGATAAAGCAATTTCGCGATTTAAAATTATCAACACAGTTTTGTAATATTTATTTGGTGTTTGAGAAACAAATGTATCCAAATTTCAACAATATTTTAATATGTAGCCAATTTTGGCACTTTATGAGATTTGAGTATCTCTGTATCCACGCTAAATTTAAAGCAAAAAATGTATTCAAATGGATACAATTGTACAATCCCCGGTTTTCTGTTGCTAATTTCTTAATGCCAAAGTTTTACATATTTAATTACATACATATGTACGAATTTTGTATGTTCATATACATATATGTATGTATACGATCATACGAATAGTTTCGCACACAAAATATTTTTAATGATTTAAATGCTTAAATTTTGATTTTTAGGGGTTTCAAACTCTATTTGATTTGTCGAATGGCTTTTCTGGTTTAGCATGTAAGAATCTGGAATATTTGCAAGATGAATATGGAAAAACAAATTTAGCTGTTCCGCTTTTTTCGCCTAAAAGTATATTATACGAAAACGCAGGTTCGTTGCACTTTTAATTGTTTATAATTTTTTATAATTATCCAAATTATGAGTATAAATATATATACATATGCACACACGTACATTACGTATTTATAATCACATTTTAATAGATGAAAAATTAAGTTATGCGATACGATTGGTTAACATAGCTGCAACCTATTCGAGCTTGACTGAGCATAGTAGTTTATTTATACCACTTTCTACCCAGGATTATATTTGGAAAAAACCACCCAGAGCAAGAACATTTAGATATATGGATTATAATTCAAAAAGCCTTTATCACACTTCAGCAATATTAGCAACATATTTGGAAACAATTAGTTTACGCTATCGATTAAGAAGTTCAGGTTACTCCTCACATCTGTTTGAATTTTGCTGTGATCTAAATAATTATGGACGTAAATTAGCTGCTGCAGCCTTGTCGTTACCATTTCCTTTGCGTCAAGATGAAGATTTGATCGATATGTTAAACGAAATAGACTATCCTATATCAACTCAGTTATCTCCCAATTGTAAAATTGGTACCGATTATATAATTCAGTCTGTTAGTGTAAGAGGGATTCCGAAAAGTCGTCTTAAGAGACCTTTACAAGAAGCTCAAAAGCAAATGAAAATGGCTGCTTATAGATGTAGTTCTGTATCCGAAATGTTACAGCTGTATTTTCAGTGCTCTAATCACGCAAGTATGGCTCATGTTGCTGCTGTTGAAACACCAATTCATATCAAAAATTTATATCCTGAAAAAATATTTCATCCGAATTTAAATATCCAAGGTAATTAGTTTTATGTATCTAACAATATTTTGAATATTACATTAGTACTTAAGTAAAATTACATTATTTGTAAAGGGGAAATAATTTTCTTTTATTTGTGTTTTATAGCATAATTAATTTTATATTAAGATCGTTCACGCACATTTCGTTACTCGCACCACTTGACGTAATTAGTAATTATTTAAACATTTCGTAATTTTCTGAATATGTAAAATCAATTTCAAAATATTTAATTCTACACTGAAACCTATAATAAATTTCAATGTCTAATCACTTAAGGTTATTCGAATAATAGAACATTACTGATATTACCATTTCGCCTAAATGTTAGCAACATTAACTTAAGCTATTTACTTTGAAGAAATTATTTTTAGTAAAAAACTTTTGTGTTGTATTTCGTTTTTTCACAATGAAAACCAGGAAATAATTTTGGTTTTTGCAAGAATTTAAATCGTAACATTTAACGTGTTTCAATTTATCTCAATCAAATTAACTTTCGTGTAGTTTTTGTAGCTTGTTTTACCTCCAAAAGATTATCCCATATGATAGAACTGTAGTGTTACATTAAAAAAAAAAAATAAATTTACATATTGTTTATTAAAGAAATATTTTATTTAAAACAAATCATATTACATAATCGAAGTTATAAATAATTCGTCACATTTTGTTCATTAATTGAAAGGTTTTCTAACTGGTCATCAAAGGCAAACAAGGATAAAATCGATTCCATGCATGGCTTCAATTCAAAATTCAACTGATTTATCGAAAACTATAGAATCATTGCATAATGAAGCAAGACGTGTTAATATTTCAAAAATACATCGTTTTAAGGAAACTGGAATGGAAGCTGATGATTACGTTGAAATACTAGAAAATTTAATGCAGTTCAAAGATGCTTATGAGGACACTATTGATTTGTAAATCTAAAAATATGTATGTATATAAAATAAAATTAAAATTTGTTATAAACTATACATATACATAAATTAAATAATATTTTTTTATATGTATCTACTCGTAATTCTGTATATATGTATGTTAAATATGTACGGTAATATTATTTCAAGTATTGAGTAAAAGTTTTTTTTATTCCTAACAATTATAACCATTAATTATAGTTATATAATTTTCTATCGCGAAAACGAGTTTTAATTTTTTTGAATTAAAATAAATTTTTTAGATTATCTGTTAATAATCTAGGTACATTCATTTTTAACACTTTTTTTTATAATATCATAAATGAATTTTAATTTTATTAATGCAAAATAATTTTATTACAAACATTTTAGAAATTCACTTAAAACTTTGATAAATTGTAACACCGGTTATTAACATTAAAAATGAAAATATAATAGATAAAACACAAAATGACTTGTTATTTTTAATTTTCAGGTCTGACAAAATTATTAAACAAGACCATATTTCCATAATTCATGTATTAGAAACTATATTCATATATGTAGTTTTTTTTATTAGTATTTTTAAATGTAGGAGCCATAGTACATAAATGTACCCTTCGGGGGGTCGTGTAACCTAGTACATATAGTTGTATATAAATGTTTTATATAAATATTTAGCATTTTACATAAATTTTTTAAAATTACATTAGGTATATGTACTTATTATTCACAATGTATGAATATCCCAACTTTTTCCCAAATTTTTTATATTTTTTCCATTTGTAGATCACGTTAACCAATGTAAAAATTACATTGACATTAGTAACATGTTAAATTACACCAGCATGTTACTATTGACGGTAATAGAAATGACTTGTTAATTTATATAGTTGATTTTAATTTTTCTGAATATTTTTAGTCGTGGTTTTATTATTTAGTTTTGATTATTACTAATTAAATAATTTATAACTATGTCTCTATCCCATGTCTTTCAAAATGAAAGCTTGTTTAGTTTTATTAAATATATTTTATTAAAATTGATTGAATTATGTATTTAAATTATGAGTTTTGAAATGGAAAATATCGCACAAAGAGAAATATATATACTAACATATATATATTCACATTTATGTATTTGCATAAATATGAATTCATACATATATGTATACACATATACTGTGATGCTGGCAATCCCTTTATTTATGACTATTTGGAAATTAAGTAGGAATCAAACACAAAATTGTCAACTTTTTTCTTCTTTTCTACTATAAACTAAAGCAATATATAGGCGGTGACACAAAAATTTTTATCTTAAGGTTTCATAATATTTTAGTCCAAAAGTGGCTAATATGGTAAAAAAAAATTAAAACTGATACTTTCCCTTAGAAACTTAGAAAAATTTGGTTGGACATATTAATCAAACGACATTAATTCACAAAAAGGCATTGTTCCTTAATATCATTTATATGTATTTCACATATTAAGTATCAGTTAGTTCTTTAATGATGACATTATGAAACTTGATAAAAAGATATTTTATAACCAGTTTGCATAAAAGTAAAAAAAAGACTTATGAGTCAAGTGTATTATAATGTACATTATAGGTACTTTTATAAGTGCATCCTAAAAAACTGCAATATGTTATTTTAGGTGAGTATCTTAACTGAGAGTAGATGTACAAGTTTTGAAGCAATAATTTCTTGACCACGAAATTAATTATATTTAGTATTCGGTACATGGGGATTCTCAATAATTCAGTTCTAACTTTGTTCTAAATATAAAGCTCGTTGGATAAATTCAAATTGTAAAATTTCAAAAATAGCAAGTTCAAAAATGACAACGCTTAAGGTAAGTTCTAAAGGATTTTTTTCAAAACTACTGCAAAAATATTATAAATAATTAGAAGAAGAGCATAACTAAAAAAAAGTTTGGTATTGAAAAATTATTGGAGTATATTTTAAATCTGAAAAAATAAAATATTCAGTTTCTGTAGATTTGTAAGCATGTGTGAAAATAAATTTAAGATTAAATTTAGCAGACTTTCAGTACATGTCTGAATTATCGAAAATTCCCTTTATTCCTTCATGAATTGATAAAAATTTAAATTTTTTTTATTAAAGTAGACTATAAAAAAAAATTAAAAGAATTTTGATGAAAAAAATTATTTGTTTCAGTAATTTTAAAAATAACACGTAACAAGTCATAAAAAGGAAAGAAATAAATTATTAATTAGAAAAAAAGAATAATTTTCAAAATGAATAAAAATATTTGTCTTTTCTGTATTTTCTTAATTTTGGTATAATGTTAAAAATTTTTTAGACAAAATAACAATTTTCTCACTTATTTTTTTTCCTAGATTCAAGTTTTCTTCAAATGCACTTCAAATGCTGAACAAGAAAAATTATCAACTGGATTTAAGGAGGAAGTAATGTACAATATTTTGAAGGTAAGTCCTAATTGTATAATTAAGTAAATAAATGAAGTAAAATCAAATGGAGTTATAGAATAATTTAAATTAAATTTTTTTTCTTTAAGGCAAATGCTACAGGAGGAGGTTCGGCTTCATTTATAATCAAAGGTGTTCTTGGTTTGCTAATTCTACCACTCATGATTTAATACGATTTTTTTTTTCAAGTAAAATTAAAAAGTATTTATGTGTTTGGTTTTAAAACGAAATTTTTATAAATTGTGATTCATTTCTTGTTGTATAATAAAATAATCTAATAGCAAAAATCTAAATTGTATATTTGTTTAAAGCTAATAAAAGAGATGAAAATTTTTCCGATTATTTTTCAATAAAATTTAAAAATTAAAAATTCATATGTATGTACATACATACTTACATAGAAGCAAGCAAAAAGATGAGTCTTAAAGTGTGTTAGGTGATTGTAATCGCTAAGATGGGGTTGTAATTGTTAAATTTAATATAAAGTGTTTATAAATTCAAATGTTCGTAAATTGCATTCTAAAAAATAAAGTTTAAAGATAAGCAAACAGAAAACAACTAATATGTCTAGGCGGATATTTGATAATTCAGTTGTAACTCAGGTCTTAATGTAAAGCACTTTTGATAAAACCTAACTTTCTAGAAAAATACAGATATTCATGCGTATGTATTTATGTATGTATTTAATATTATAAAGGTTCCTGACATAATATAAGAAGAATATTTCAAAATAGTGATAAGAATCAAAAATTTCAAGTTGTAGTCTGTCTGAAAGTTAAGTTAAGGAAAGATTTCCACTCAATGCATATAAACACATATAAATATACGTAATATTATATTCGGTAAATATATACATATATACGAATTTCTGTCAACAGTTTTTGTTAAAAAAAAGGAATTAGTGAATACGACATTTTTGTTTTCATGGTTTGTCTTTTATCAATTGTGTTAAAATATTATTATTTGAACTTTTATCCTTCGGAAATCTACCAGTAATATGAGATAAAAAATTTTTAGTAATTTGTATAATATTTATCACTAATGTACAGTTTATGTTTATAGACCGATACTATAATTTTTTTTTGTAAACATGAAAATTAACCCTTTAAGAATACATTGTTTTTGGAATTAAGAAGTTTCATTGGTAAAATATAGTTAAGAAACATTGGAATTTTGGAGAAATATTTTTTTATTTTAAATGAAATACTATATGGTCCAGTGTCTTCATTATTTCATGCATGAAAAAATTGCGTATGCGTAACATGTGTAACAAATAACTCAGTTGTAATTTGTAGTCTCAATTTTTAGTAGACTTATTATGCATGGCGAATTTATCAAGAAATATGCGTAATTTAATATTTTTGTTTAAATAATATGTAACATGCGTTTGTATTTAGAATACGTAAAATTTTATTAATTTCTTTTATATGTGTGAATGTTGTGGTATATAGATGGGAGTTATTATTAATGTTAGAAATCGTAACCTTATTCTTAACTCTTTCAACAATAATGTATAGTGCATACAAAGTTCATATTTAAAATACATAATGTGTGTTATTCATATCATATTCATTTTCAATAATTATAATTGTTCTAAAAATAACATTTGGTAAATATATATATATCATGAAAAATTAGTGTTCAAAAAACTGAGTTCATTCACGTCGTTAATTTCAAATACAAGTTTTATCTCTATTTTTAATCGTGTGTGTACTGTGTTTACACACGCATTTTGGTATTTTTAATACCGATAGAAAAAGATTGTTTTAATTTAAAATTGTGCAATAAATAAATAAAAAACAGAATTTGATGTTAAAAAATTCATTTCAATATTTAAACTATTTGAAAAATAAATTTGTTTTACTATACATCAAATTTTTCACCTATAAAAGTAACATGTATTTTTACATTAAAACATAAGGTAAGAAAATTTAAAGCAATTAAGATGCACTACGGTTGCATTAAATTATTATTTTGCTGTAGTGTTATATTTGCAGTATGTAGTGGTAAGAATTTAATGTTTAGATTTGTTTAGTTATTTATACATAATATGTATATCTATTATTTACTAATTTACATTATTATCTTTTAATTTCTAGCTAGTGACGACGAAAGTATAGAGGACAGGGTGAAGGTAGAGGGTCGTTTCTTCAAGACGACCACAACTACCGCGGCTCCGACCACAACCCCCCCGCCAACACCACCACCGACACCACCACCAGCACCGCCACCAACACCTCCGCCACCACCAACACCACCACCACCCCCAACACCACCGCCACCACCACCACCTCCGCCGCCACCCCCACCACCACCTCCTCCACCACCGCCACCACCACCACCCCCACCGCCGCCACCACCGCCACCACCACCACCACCACCGCCGCCACCACCACCTCCACCACCACCACCACCAGGATAAATATTTAAGATTCCCAAAGACAACGTATAAGATCATAACGTTGCATTAACTCTAAATTATTTTTCGCATATTTTTGTAGTAAAAGGAGATACTAATTTTATTATAGTAAAAAATGATTTATAAAAATTTTAAATTAATATTTGTGGTTATGATTAAATGGTACATATTTTATAAGTATATTAGCCTATTGTAGTTTTGTATCTTCCGTAATCATTAATCGAAATATTTAGGTATTCTTGTAAATCGTTTAATAATGCAGATTCTATCAACTATTTTGCGCTGAAGACCTTTTCCACAAACAAAAAATTAAATTAAAACAAATTCCTAAGAAAGGTAAAAAAATACAGACTCATGTCTCGGAAATATTAAATATATATAGTATGGAGTTAAAATATAGCTTTGTGCGCTCCGCATGTGTAAGTAGAATGAAGGGAATAGTAAATTATGGCCGATTATTTAAGACAATACTAGTAGAAATTTTCAAATTTTCAAGTACATATTAAAAATTTTCTTTCATAACTAAATGCATAGATACATTTAAGTGTATACGTAGCTACTAAATGATAACCCATTATGCAATTTTTGCTTTTGTTTAATTTTTTAATTCTGCTTTGATAGTTTTCTACGACGCTTAAGTGATTTACACAATATTATATAAAAATTAGGTGCCAATTTAAAAAAAAAATTAAAAATGACTTCCAAACGTTTCAAAGAAATTAAAGTAGAATTTTAAACCGACTGTTCTGAAATGAGGAAATAAAATCCAAATTTTTTCCAAATTTTTGATATCGTTTTTCTTCTAGAAAGGTTTAGGAGTCTGAAATTTTAGCAAATTATAGGCACTAATCAACAGTTCATTTCGCTAGAACAAATTTTTTTTTCACGTCTATCCGCTCAAGTTATTGAAATTCATAAAATTCGAAACCTTATATTTTCGAAACTGTAAGTTTTTCAGAATTTCTATAAATGCAGAAAATATATTTGTATATAAATGAAACTGGTTATAATAATGTAGTACAATACTAGATTGTTTATAAAACCAGTAATTTTACTTGTTGAAGGGAAAGTGCTACATTACAAACCATTGGTTTGGTTCAACTTTATTTTTTTCTAGACGATAAAATTTAGAAGTCTGAAATTTCAGATGCTATTAAATACTAATAAATAATTTATTTGAAAGAAGGAAATTTTTTTTTCACTTCCATCCTCTCTCAAGCTATCGCCTATCAAAATAAGTGGTATTTGAACATTAGGCGCCTTATATTTTTGAAACTTTAAGCGTTTCCCAATTTCTGTAATGGAAAATGCTATGTCTGATGACATGGATTCTGATAAATATTTTTCTTAAGTCAACTCTTATATTACTTATTCTTAACTCTTAATTATATTAATCTTATTCTTAACTCAGTCAAATTCGACGATTATGTCATCGTTTATTTAATTTTTTTTCTTTTGATCATTCTAAATGTATGCAATAATTTGATATGCATATTTTGGTAAATGAATGAAAGAAATTTAAATAGTATACTAAATTCACTTGTTTACTTTTGAATACTGTAAACAGTATTTTAACTTGTTCAACAATTGGTTTGATTCAAAATTTATTTATTTTTTTTGGGAATCATATTCCTTAAAAAATTTCAGAATAGATTTGCCATTGGATTTACAGCTGTTCTTAGTATTTTTAAAGAATTTGAAACAATTATGAAATTTAAATGTTCCGCTGAATGAACTTCAAATTTGTTAAAAAACATTGTTTACATATGTAAACAAATAAAAAAACTATTAATATAATGTGACTTAGCAGTTGATCAACATCGTACATATAAAATTTAATTTACAATATGTTTATATGTGTGTAGGTATTCTTCTAATATTTTTACTTTTGCATTCGCTCTACTATGTGATGAACTTTAGGACCATTTAAACGTATAAAATTATAGACAAATATGATTAGTAATTTTATTATTTCTAGTTTACTAAATATATATTTTTTTTATTTTATTAAGTATTATATGTTTTTCGTCACTCCTAGAGGGAGCTAGGGGTAGTAAATGATATTATATATAGTTATGCCCCAGTTTCATTGCGTTATAGAGTTTTAACTAAGTAGGTGACTAGCCTGCCATAGTGTTTTTCTTTATATTAAATATAAAAGCTTGTTATTATTTATCTATTTTTTTTAGTTTTTTATGGGTATATTAAAATAACTTGTTGAATATTATGGATATATTAAAATTACTTCTTACTAATTTTTTATTTTATATTAAGCTGTAATATTTAATATAATTTTTGATAGTGACCTTACCACCGATGCCATAACCACTACATCAATGGCCAAGTTACTAAACATAGTTAGTAAAATATTATTAGGAAAGAGTAGAATATATATATTTCAATATTAAATAAAAATCAATATTCAAAACAATCTAATAATTAGTTATTTTACTATAAGATAAGTGATTTTTATATCAAGATAAGTTTTTTTATTAGAAATGTTTGCAAATGTTAGCTTTTCAATTATTATAACAAATCGTTATATGCAAAACAACTAGCAGGGCTAGGTTTCGAGCATATACATATTGCATGGTTTTCTGTGGTGCCCAAATTTTCGCTAGCTTATTATTACATTCATAACTTAAGTGACAGGGCTTCATTTCATTTTATTCTTCCGTGTGTACAAACTTCATGCATAAATTCATAACTTAAGTATTCTATATAACTATTATTAGAGAAATGTGCTACATTTCTTATATGTATTCAATATTGAAATAAAATTTTTGTATGGATTTAATATTGCACAATATGTAAATATTAAACAGAATTTATCTAAAACAGGTTAGAGCTTTTATATGCTTCAATTATATGAAATTATTTAAGATTTTGGTTTTTGTATTCATTTAATTTGTAAGGTTTATGTATAAAAGAAATGTGTACTTTGAAAGTAAAACATAAGTTTAGATAAAATCGTCCAATTAGGATGGACTTAAGTTACCTTAAAATATTTTTTTGTTGTAATATCATATTTGTGGTGTGTAATGGTAACAGACTAACGATAAAATTATAATACTATGTTATCAAATTTAATTTCAATATTTAGCCTCCATAAATGAAACAAACGAAATTGTGACATCCGACGAGCTTCGCTTTTTTAAGACAACGGCTGCAACTACTGCAGCTCCAGTAACGACAACACCAGTTGAACCACCACCCCCCCCTGTTACACCCACCTACCAAATTGAACCACCACCGCCAACGCCGACGCCACCACCTCTACCAACTCCAGCTCCAACACCACCACCGCCACCGTCACCACCACCACCACCATCACCGCCACCACCACCACCACCACCACCACCACCCCCACCTCCACCACCAACTTCGCCACCACCACCATCTCCGCCTTCCCCACCCGGTTAAAATGCTTTTGATTTTTTATACTAGTTGTAAATCTCAATTGTAATAAATCAAATACATATATGTATGTAAATCGAAGATTAAACTTTATTATTACAATATATTATGTTAAAATCAAACAACACAGAACCATTTTTATTTTATTACTGTTTTTTTTTAGTGTTTGTCAAATATAAATATTTATAAAAAAGCAAAAAATGTCTATGATTTTATAAAAAATAAAAATTGCAATTTTTAAACTTTAAAATTGGAAATTCAAATTTATTGAATGGTGAAATTTGCCGCATGGCCGAATGAACTCACAAATGGATTATGTATTATATTATAAATATTTTCAATATCCAAAGAATTCGAAGAATTTTATATAAATTATAGGAATAATCGAAGGGATTGGTGAGTTTCTTTCACTATTTGTTGTGTCTTCAAAGAGTTCTGCAATATATTCTTTTCATTTGGTTGTTTGTTTATCTTAAAAACATCTATTTATTGTGATTCTAGAATAATAGAATTTTTAATTTTCAAACATCCATCACTTTTTCCTTGCATTAACTCGTTTCCACAATTATGCAACCTTTATTATGTACTCAGGTTTTTTTTAAATATCTTCACCCAGCAGTTTGCAAACTGCAAACCAGCAAACTTGAAGGTTTAGAATTGCTAATGAAAATTTTTCTAGACTGTAAACACAGGCTGACAGACAAACCGACAGATATTTCTCTAAAAATAATTGTTTCCGCTTCTCGCAGAAACTCGGCATGTGAAATTCGACGCTATCACATGCCTTTCCTTTATTGCATATGTTAGTATTTTTTTCGAGTTGGTTTTACGTAATAAGCAAATATAAAACAGAATTTTGTTGAACACCAATATCTTAATCTTGATCAGACTGCAATTACATTACTTGAAAAAAGTAGTTTTCATTATTTTCAAATGTTTATGTATATAAGTAAGACATATTTTAAAAATGAAACATAAAGTTAACTGAAACTGATCAATTAGGATGTACTTTAGCTACATTAAAATAATATTTTATTGCATCGCCATATTTGTGCTATGTGATGGTAATAACACTTCATAAACATTAATATTTGCTCTTTACTTAATCTATTTTAAATTTTATTTACCATAGCTTCCACAAATAGGACTTTGATAGCCGGTGAAGATCGCCATTTTAAAACGACTACAACTACAACTACAGCTCCAACAACAACAACAACAATAATAGTTGAGCCGCCACCACCAACTCCGCCTCCACTACCGCCTCCAGCACCACCGCCTCCACCACCACCATCGCCACCCCCCTCCTCCAGTTCCACCGCCCCCACCGTCACCAGCTGCGCTCCCCCCTCCGCCTCCACGACCTCCTCCACCGCCAACACCTACTCCCCCGTCACCACCAGCACCACCACCTCCTCCAGTCCCAGCACCGCCACCACCAGGTTAATATAATTGATTATTAATATATTTACACTATGTATTTGAATTTAAAAACGAATACAAATGGTTTGCAATTATAAATCGAAATTATTGAAGATAAATCAAATTCCAATTTTTAATTATAATAGTGACTTTAAAGAATAATTCTAAAATTCTTGTACATTCCTGAGTCCAATGTTTTCTGAAGATGTTTCATCTTTTTAGCACGTTTCAAAAAAATAAATCTAACATTTATTGACTATTAAAATTGCTATGTATAAGCTTTTTACAAAATTTAGTATTTTAAATTAGAGCTTAAGAAAGTAGCCAAAATTCTGTAAAAAAACCGATTGTAGAAAAATTAAAAAATAAAAGAAGGGAAAAATTAGATTTTTTTGCAAAGTTCGAATGTCAGGTATTCCGGAAGTACATAAAATACAAAGTCAAGTAATATATTGCTTTCAAGCTCTGTATTAGCCTTTTCAAAAACTGTTTATTTAAAAGTTCTACGGAAAGGAAGTTAGAAGCAAAAACTTGGGCAAGTAGAAATTTCGTGAAATTTAGGCAAGTAAAACGCCGGAAACCGTTGAGATTTGACACCTAGTCCTATTCATTTTTGATATCCTAAATGATGGTATATATTACGTCGACGATTACTGTAACACCCTGTACATAAATACTTATTTTTTACAGTATCATACAATATACGTTTATTTGCATATGAGAATGTTTACATAATGTGATCACTAAAATGTTCTTTTCTATTTTCTTTTGCTTTTGTTACGTAAGAGTTTACTTAGTTTGTTGAAGTTATATAAAAAATATTAAATTACACTCGAAACATATAACACTAAATTTAAAGCAAACAAAAAACTGAAAGAGACTTTTAGAAATTGTTTGGTTTTCGTAATTATAATGAAAAGGATAACAAGAAATGATCATGGTTGTTCTAGATTCCATTTTCGTAAAATTGGAATAAAAGAAGGGAAAAATTAGATTTTCGTAATTATAATGAAAAGGAGTTGTTTCAGGTTTCATTTCACTCATCAAATTGTAATTTTCAGTAATCTTACGTTCAAGAGTAAAATAAAAACATGAATGTAATTTTTGAACATGAAAATTGGTTTTATCAAAGAACATTTTTTATGCAATAAATTTTTGTGTTCAAAATTTTTAGCTCAATTACTCAATTTCGAAAACGAAATTGAGTTCTTTTAAGACAGAATGAAATGCCCCAGACCAATTTTCAGTTCAATCAAATTTTCTTTTTCATAGTCGTTTTCATTTCACTCAATTTCTGAAACAACGATCATTATGTTTGTTTTTATTCAAATAATATTGTCATATACCAATATTGCCATATTATTCTCAAATTTTAAGTACTTTTTTTGCACTTTCAAAAATATTTCTCTTGCGAAATGACAAAATTCATCTTTATATGAAGGTGTTTTGTTCAAAATTTGTGCCTTATTTTTTTATATGCTGACAGTAGTTACTTGACATTTTTTCTAACTTTTCTCATATTGAATTTAACAAATACAGTAGAAACTCCATGAGTTGACCGCCAAAGGCGGGAGGGGGTGGTATTATTTATCGTCAAGTTTTAAAAACTCGAATCAATTGGTTTGTATTTACAATAATAATATTGAACTTTTCGCGATGATCAAATTACCACTATCGCTTAGTCACCCGATATTCAGAATAAGCCCCATTATTTCATTAAAATATTGAAAAAAAACTGGTAAAGAAGTTAAAGTTTTTTTAGTGGTTTATGTAAAGAGTTTACATTAACATACACCTCAATATGCAAATAACAGAAGTTAGAGGTCACAATAATTAAATAAATGAAAGAAATATAGATGCGAAATATGGAGTTCCTAATTAAAGAGGAATTTTTATACAGAAAAACGTGACTTCAGAGGCGCTGAGAATCTGTTTAAGTTGCTATCGCTATAGAGCTTAAAATGTATTTTACTGTATTTATTTAAATTTTGTTAAATTTCGAAGAGATTATTAGAAGTTTGTCATCACTTCGTGAATTGTTGTTAAATTGATAGTTACTTATAATATTCTCATAACAGTTCACTGGTTCTTCATTATTTTTTTTTGAATAATTTTGTTTTGTTGTAGATAAACTTTAATTTTTAAATATTGACAAAATATATAAGTATTTGGTTTGCGTTGTTTTTTTTGTTTGGTTTTGCGCAATAAACAAATATAAAACAGAATTTTATTAAACATTAGAATCTTCAGCTTCTTTGAGTTACAGCTAAATTACTTGAAAAAAGTTATTTTTATTACTTCCAATTATTTATGTATAAAGGTGAATAGATTTTGAAAATGAAACATAAAATTAAGTGAAACCGATCAATAAGGATGTACTTCAGTTACATTAAAATTATATTTTATTTTATCGTCATTTTTGTGCTATGTGATGGTAATAACACTTAATAAACATTTATGCTTGTCACTTTATTTAATCTAATTTTAATATTATTAGCTACCACAGTTCACACAAATAGAACCCTGATATCCGCAGAATTTCGTCATTTTAAAACGACAACGACAACTACCACAGCTCCAACCACAATAACACCGATTGACCCGATACCACCACCACCACCACCGCCGCCGCCACCTCCGCCACCACCACCGCCAGTGCCACCGCCGCCACCACCACCACCACCGCCACCACCTCCACCTCCTCCCCCTCCACCACCACCACCGCCGCCACCGCCACCGCCTCCACCTCCCCCTCCTCCGCCACCGCCACCACCACCACCACCACCAGTACCTCCAGTTCCAGCACCACCACCACCAGGTTAACATTATGATCGATATAGTAATAATGCATATAGTTTTAATGTATATAAAAACGAATGTTAATGGTTAGCAGTTGAAAATCGAAATGATTGAAAATCAATTAAATTCCAATTATAATAATTATTATAATAGGAATTAATTTATTATTGCAATTAATTATAGCAAGGTTCTTTCTATAAGAATATTTTTCAAGATTTTTCATTACTTTACCACATGAAATTGCATAAAAATGTGATATTAAAATGTTTCCAAGAAGTAAAGATACTTTTATGTATTATCCAAATCTTAAAAGATGAATAAGAGTTATGTATAGCATTCCAAGTGAACATATAATTACGTATACAAAAAAAAATAAAAAAAATCTTATGTGGTCAGCATATAACCGACCACAATGTGTATTGTCTATAGTTAAGTAAATGTGTTACAGAATATTATGAAAATGTCTGTTAAATACTTCTTTCCAATTTTTAGGGCATTAGTAAGCTTATAGTTAACATACCTAAAAAAATGTAAATTTGGCTCTCAGTAGAGTTTCGCTTTGTGCTACCCGAATTCCCTGAAATACATGCTAGTTAGTTTCGGTAACAACTAGAACTCAAATATCAATTTTCAAGAAATTCCATCAATTTGTTCCGTAGATATGGTAAAAAATCTAAAATCCGCCTTCAGATCAGTTTCCGAGCCCTAATCTTTCCAAAGAATTTATATGTTCATTGCTTTAATACGAAGAATTCAAATGTTAAATTTCAATGAAAGCGGCTGATTAGTTCTCTTTATATACTCAAAAATGTATATTTGGCCCGTAGCAAACCCCCAGAACTCAAATATCAATTTTCAAAAAATTCCATCAATTTGTTCCGTAGATATGGTAAAAAATCTAAAATCCGCCCTCAGATCAGTTTCCGAGCCCTAATCTTTCCAAAGAATTTATATGTTCATTGCTTTAATACGAAGAATTCAAATGTTAAATTTCAATGAAATCGGTTGATTACTTCTCTTTATATACTCAAAAATGTATATTTGGCCCGTAGCAAACCCCCAGTTATTGACGCCTGATTTCTTCCAAACGTTAGGAGGTTTCGCGGACGGTTGAGCGAAGCTTACATATAAAATTTCAAGTAAATATGTTGAATAGTTTCTTCATAATGATCATGTATACACAATACGGTCGGTAAAAAGCTTTATAACTTTTACTCATTCTTATTCTTTTTAACTTTTCGAAAAAATTTTTGAAAAAAGTGCTTATTAGTTTCACTCTGTTCGTCCGTGGACATGGTTACAAAACTCCTAGAAAGCTGAAATTTAATACGTACATAGGTCTTTTCTAGAAACTTATTTCGATAGAAGAAAATTTTTACTTATCTCCCCCCTATAGAAGCTGTATCCCCCTAAAACCCTAAAATGGTATTTTTACCCATTTATTACAGTGAAACCATAAGCATTTCTGAAATTTTTCAAACGCAAAAATATAGTGGCTGCCTTCTTCTACTAGGACATATTATATTTGAATTAAAAAAGAAAACAAAATGGCCGCTACAATTTACCGTTATCCAAAAACCGTTTTTCCCAAATTTTTGATGTCGCTTTTCTTCTAAACTCCAGATTTTAGGAACCTGAAATTTGTAGCACCTTTTAGACAATAACAAATAGTTTATTTCGTTCGAAAAAAATTTTTTTCCATTTTTTTAATTTTTGATGCCTTATATTTCCAAAACCGCATTATTCCCTCTTTATATTAATTTTTGCTTTATTTCCAAGGCAGCATAAACCGTTAATCCTAAATATATGCAATCCTAGAACTAGTTTCGTTTATGAATGAAAATAATTTTAATAGTGCGGTAGGTATATATGGATTGTTTTTAAAAGCAGTATTTTCACTTGTTGAAGGGAAAAGTGCTACAATACAAACCATTGGTTTGACGCAACTTTATTAATTTTCAATTTATGAAAAATTTCATTAGATGATTATTTAAGATTTTATCAAAATATTAGAAAGTTAACGTTTTAAGATGTTGGTATAATAAATTTTGTTATGCTTATCATTTATGTTAAGAAATAATAATTTAGCGAAATTTAATTTTCGATTTGATACGAAATGATTGAAAATATAATATGTATATTTTAACATAAACATAACTTTAATGTCGGTGTCGAATTTTTCCGGAATACATAATTTTATTTTTAGTGCAATTTCCATTCTTATGTACATTACTGCTGCCAACATGCAAATAATTTTATCACTTAAATGTATTTACGCACTTATGTTTTGTTTGAGAAAAAGATAAAACAACATAAAATGCCGATTTATGTATTTTTAAAAAATGTGAGAATTTTAAAAAATAGATGTACAATTGGTAATAAGTAATATTCGTAATTCAAAAAATATTTTTCTTATGTAATTAATAATACCTTAGTTCACCATTATTTTATTTAGTCCCTTGGTTGCAAGATAAAAATGTAGATGTTGGGAATATGGGAAAAGTTGTTTGGTTGATCTTAATATTCAATAAAATAATCACGAAAACAGCCATTAAATTAATGAAAATGCAGCAGGGTGCAGCCTTATTAAGCGATACGTACATGTTTTGTTCCACATTTATACATTATATAATGTTATATTGAATTTTATATATCCATAGTGTTAAACAAAATATGTCCAGCAATGTATTACAGCATAGGCCATTGCATTGACCACTAAATCATTCTATGATATTTTCAGTATGCAAGGTTATGCCACTATTATATCCCACAACCTAGATCGTGGTTCTGAGTTCGCTAAAAATTGCTAATACCAATGGAAGATTAAGATCAAAGTGTCTAAGACTGAGGCGAGCTTTTTCAGTAAAAGGGGGAATTTCTTGCAGGCTTGTGGTTTAAAACTTGATACAGTTGAAATAAAGCGGATAGATTCAATGAAATATTTACAACTAGACAAAAAGCTCTTGTTTGGAGCCAATTACGGATTCTTAAAACATTGTATCCCCTAATATCTCTTAAAGGAAAAAAAATTTTACTTCTCAGAATCATTTTCCAAATTATGATGTTTTACGGTTCCCAGATCTGGGGCACTTGCGCTGAGACACATTTAAAACATTTAAGATTTTGAATAACCGAAACAAGTTTTTATTCTACCAAACCCTATTTTTTTCTCTCTCCCTTTCAAAAATTTACCAAAAAAAATTAAAAAGGTGTATTATATTATAAATGTAAGGTAAAAACTGACCGTTATATGTGAATCCTCTATAAATGTAAAATAATTGTCAATTCTATTTTAAAAAATAAAATGATAATATGTTAAAAATAGACTTGATTTTAAAGACAGTAATGTGATTTTATATTCCCAGAAATATGAAAGATAAAATTTTATATGATTCTGGAATCTTCATACCGCGATATGGATCACGTTTAACGTTTCCAGTTGTGTACCATTCATTTTTTGCATGCAAAATGTAACAGATTTAAAACGAATTTTGCATTTTGTTGGACAAATAATTTTTTGCGCATACAATTTTTTTTACAATTATAGATTTAAGCCCAAGTTTAATTAATTTTAAAAGCCCAAAATTATTAAATAAATACATAAACTTTTTTCAAAACTCTCAATATTCATTTAAAGTTGAGCAATATATTTTTAATAATTTAAAAATATACGCCATTATTAGGTAGTTTTATCCTGCTCCACCGGGAGTTGTGGGAGGAAATGTTGGAATTGGTGGTGGTGCGGGCATAGGAGTTGGCGGGGGTATTGGCGGAGGTATTGGTGGGGGTGTTGGGGGAGTTATTGGTGGTGGAATTGGTGGAGTTATTGGAGGTGGAGGTGGTGGTATTGGAGTTGCCGTGGTTGCGGTTGTTTTAAAAAAACGTCCTTTACTGCTTTCCTGAGCGGCTACATTTTCACTTTCAAGTCTTATAGCTGGAAATTGAAAAAGTTTTTGTGTCGGAATTATTTACACAATATAAGACTAAGAAAAAAACCAAGTTATGTAAAAACAAATTTTTTTCTTACCGACAAATATGCTGCTGTAAATTAATAATTTAGTGATACTTAACTGCATCTTAATTGGTAGAACAAATTAAACTTTGTGTTTTAATTAAACAAAGTGTGTTGCTTTTATAGGTAAACAATAAAAAAAAAACAGACAAAAATTAATGTTAGAAAAGGTGGTTACATTGTCAATGAGAAAATTAACGTATTTAATATGGTTTAGTGCAAACTTTTAAAGTTAGTAGATGTTGCAATTAAATACAGAAAATTGACAGTTGTAAGCTTTGTATCTCTTAAAGCCATAGCTTAATATTCAGCGTTTTATACAGTTAACATAAATTTATACGAAATATATTTATCTTTAGAAACCTTGGCTTTTTATAATTAAATGATTATTTTGCTTAGAACTGCAAACTTTGAAAACTTTATGTAAATGTAGACTTTTCCAAAAATCTACATGCATTCTAACTTTCATTATTTATTAAATCTAATGATCAGATTATCCTGCGAAAAATTAAAATGTTGGTGTTTTGATCTAATAATTCAAAAAAAAAATTTCAAAATAATATACAAGACTTTAATTTTTGATGAATAAACCGATACTGAAATAGAACAACAAACATTTTTATACTCGTAACAAGTTTAGATATGATTTTAACCTATTTTAAAGTTTAAATGGTTTTTACTGATTTTTGTCTGATACTCAAGTATGTCATTAACTTGACTGAATTATATGTTATACCCTGAAAATCTGTCTATAAAAGACAGGGATATCTACCCGAAACAGTATAGAACTGTTCCATTAAAACTTTCGGAACCTATGTTAGATTTAATTAGTCGAATAATTACAAAATTTCTATATTTAATTGGTTGTTAAATATTTAAATTTAAAATAATCTCTTTGAGGTGTATGCCATTTGTATTGAAATTCGTGATATAAACATTAAAAATTCAATATTTAATTATATATACATAACAACACATACCTTCAATTACATTGTGATGTATTACTAAAAAA